AATCCGCCGAGCATCCAAACGTGTTCCTTTTCCATTCATCTTGCTAACGAGATCCGTTCGATTTTGCCCACGCACCTGCAATTCTCGCCCGCGCATACAGAACGAGGGCATGCATAGTGTTTCGCGATGACGACAGCTACGCGTTATACTCGTACGACGTTGATCTCTCGACAAGATAAAAGATGCATCCTTTTCTTTCACGCACCGTACTTACATTCTTCGTGATATATACGTTTCTCTAGCGAGTGGTCCCGAGTGCTTCACGATAATACGCACTAGAAAAAGAAGAGTTGGGTCGGAACTCGGGGCTATCGGACCAACATTGCAAAGCATTTATTACGCGTACGGAGTAATCGCCGACCTTTTACGGTACATGCTTCTATCGCAGCGATCCAAAGTCCACGAACGCAAACGTACGGACGAATTGTCCGAAAAACTTTACTCGGAAAGTAATTGTTTAATTTTAAAAAAGACTGCATCTCCATCTCCATTTCCTCGTTTGGTATCAATTCATAACTAATATATCGGAAAGTGATATTTACGCAACGATACCGAGCACCTTTTACTCCCGTTACAAAACACAGCTCATTACCTAACGGCTTGTCCGTTGAAAGAACAATAGCAACTGAAACCGGGAGGATTTCGACAGCTCGTAATTACATATAGGTGGACCGTGTGAAAATTCGTTACGAGTGATAGCGATATTTGTGGAATTCGATGTCGAGGGTTGAAAGCGAAGGAACGAAGAAACCGTTGCACGAAACACGCGCGAGTTTATCGTTCTTCTCGCGAGAGCAGCGCGTTGATGGAATTTTACGACGCAAAATTCCAGCCGTCCTCGCTTTCCCGTCAGAACTTACGCGATACGGCGGCATTCGCACGCGCAGAAACACCACGAAGCGACACGACACGACACGATGCCACGCAACCGGCGGATCTTCCAAGTACACCGTAGCGATTATCTTCGTGTGTGGTTTACGATATCATCCATTCGAAGGGATTAAAAGGTAGATTCTCGCTCTCAAGAACAACGACCCTGAAGGAGTTTCGGCGAAATCGGCGTGTCATTCCGATCTAGCTATCGCGCCACGGAATAACTCTCATCGATAATGAGAAAGAGAGAAACAGAAGCTGAAAGCACTGCCAGAACGATACGTATTACCACAGCAAATGGAAATTGTGCCTCGCGTAATAACGTTACTTATAATAATAAATAAAATTACTTTTCCCTCTTCCCGAAGCTTCTCGCTGACAGTTAGGTTGTCTGAATTCAAACGATCTTAAAGGAAGAAAAATTGCTACGTTAACGAGCGTAAACGCAAACTAAAAGTCAAGTTGTTCGAAATCGTTCGACGTGGTTGCGAAGATATACTACTACTAATTTACTACTACTACTAATACAGATTTAACACTCAAGAGAACGTTAACGGATGATATGATATACGAACTCGTATCTTAAAACTGAGAAAATAAATGAACGGGCCGGTAGACTTGGTAAACTTGTAAGAGAATCGGACTGATCGCGTTTCGAAAAGGATATAATTTAAAAGGATATAAATTAAAAAAATGCATTTTGCCATTGGTCGAACCTCGTTCGCGCGAGGATAAGAAAGGAAAAGAGCGAAGATGAAAGCGTATAGAAGGAATAGCAAGGTAAGACAGAACAGCCGGCTCTTAGGATGGAAAGCAAATCCGTTTGTGATTCTTTGGTTGCATCCGCGTCTAACCACGAACCGCATGTTGTTCGCGATACCGCAATGACCAACAAAAAGATTCTTAGCATCCGGCCAGGGGAGCCGTCGTTAAATTCTCGCCAACAAATTTCATTATGTAAACGCAACATTTTCAGTCAAAGGCTTTCTCGTTTCTGCACCTCTCGCGGCCACGTTAAACCGACAGAGCGCCAGCATACTTTCTCGCATAAAATTTTGCATCGCGACACGAGAATTTCACAACCCTTGAACGAGTTCCTTCGCAAAAGTACCACTCTTCTCCTTCTCTTTCTCCTTCTCCTTCTCCGTTTTTCTCTACGAGACTTTAGACTTTAAATTATGGTAATACATGTTTGGGCCTACATGTGTGTAGACCCACTGAAAAACGAACACCAAACAGCAACATTCTAGTATATAAACTTTAGAACCCGCTAAATGAACGCAACAGACATGATAATTCATGACCCGAGAATAATAAGCGAGGAGGAACTAGGTGTCGTTAATCTTGCTGAAAGTTTGAGGAAGATAGGCGAATATCGCCATCCTGACTCTAAACGTTAACTAGAAATAACATCGTCGAATAAATTATACGTGATCAGTTTGAATCTCAATAAGTCATCCACAATTGAATCAAATATAAGTATTATATATTGCTTTTAAATCACACGTAAATCGAATCGTATTGAAACTGTATTAACGTTAAGTTTCAACTAACGCCAGACTTTTGCTACAAAATGGATAAAAATGAGAGCTACGCATTTTCAGGATTTAAGTTTCCAATTATTCATATACGGTATAACTTTCCTTAACTAATGAACTCGCTAGAAACTTGCGCTCATAGTTGGAGCAAATTTCTTAGAAACTCGACGACGTGATAGCAAAGTGTTAACAAACCAGCGAAACTTTCAAACGTTCAACAATTGAAATTTATGCGATTACATGTCGTTCTCATCGCGAGTAACGCCATCGTACTCGCTGTACAATCTATCTGCGTCACCAAGTTCGTCAGGTCCGCCGATATACGTAAAAACTGTCAGACCTTCTGCAAACATGGTTGACCGAATGTGCCAAGAAACGACCAGCCAGTCCGGTGCAATTTACAACGAAAAATACCGTTTCGCCGCTGTATTCTGTGTATTTAAAGGAAAGGCGGAACCGGACGCGGCGCGACACGGCTCGACGCGACGTCAGACGTTGAGACGAGGACGTCCCTTCAGTCGTCCCGTTAAGCGCGTGTTCTGGTGGCTGGGATTTTCAATTCCGAACGAATACACCTAGATCCATATACGAATGTGTGCTGCGTATAACGAAGGGGCAAGCTCAACCGAAGAGGCGCATGGCGGTTACATCGTTTATGTATATCGCGGACTCGTAGACGTTCATCGAAGTAAGCAACGTATCATGACTTTGATATTTGCCGTGCGTGGCTCCGAGTGCACACGCGTCTTTCCCCAACAGAGGCTCGCATATCGCATATCGCATATCGCATAAGAATATGTCCATCGAGATAAACGTAAATATACGCAAATAGAATGTCCCAGAAATACAAGCCGACCAGCGGCATCGTGTTTCTGCGAAACTCTCCAACCAACAGCTATTTTTCGCAGAAATGTATATTCGGATGTAATTACGGCTAGTAGGAAGCACGAGAAACTCGAATACAATGACCATTCATTTGCATCTTATGTAACCAAATTTTGACAAAGTAATGCGAAAAGAAAATAAATTCTTATTGATTGATTTTGTTACTTCGATGCGAATATTATGAACCAATGTTTCCTACAAATATCGCATATCGTTTTTACTCTCGGTAATAGTCCTCCGAATCTTTTCGCGGACAAATAGGCGCGCTATGAGATTCTTCCACCTCCGTTTACTCTTCGATCAGTGAATCTCATCCAAGGAAGATAATTACGATCCTCGCGATGATTTAGTCGATTAGCCCGTAATATAATCGTAAACCGGTGTAGCCACAGTGAAATAAATATTTCTCGTTCTCGAATTCTATAGCGATTCGAGCTTGGACACTTAGACCAAGAATCGAACGATCAACCATCGCGACACTCTGATCGTCTTTATCGAGATACCGATGTAACGATGATTACTTGCTCCGTTACCGTCGCTAGGTTACAGACGGAACCTAGTCGAAACAAAAAAGAAATTGAAAACGATCAGTGAACAGTCGACGTCATCGCGAATCGACTTCGAGTTCAAGCTTTTTCACTACGCTGAGATAGCGATTTTACGAAACGACAGTTGCCAAGCGATTGCTCTTTTCAAATGCCTAATATCAAAGTAACCAATATATAATAATAACGATTCGTTGCACATACTTTTCCAATCTCGCTAGAAACATACATAGATCATAATACTCAAGTATATACGTACAGGTGTTCTATTCGTACAAGAACGTTTCATGTAATCGTTATCCCTTTTAGGTTGTTGAATATAAATAATATACCACAGACAGATGGTCGTTGTCATGAACACTATCGTTATTTTGCAAATATTAAATATAAAATATAACTGAAATATAAAAATAATAGCATAATCTCACACAGATGTGATAACACTTGTAACTCTTTGCCGTCTAAATAAATTATATATATGATATTTAACGATGTCGATCACTCGCTCGAAAGAAGAATCAATTCTATCAGCGGTGTTTAATAATTATGAGATCTACGTAACTTAAGAAGATTCGAAAAGACCGCCACGGAAGATCAATATGTACACTGTACACCGATGGTAGCGCCAGAACCAGTTGACCTAATAATACAACCAGTCACTTCGCGTATAATTCCTTTCGTGATCGACGTATGTATATACACATATGCGTATCATCTATGCACGTTATACACATAGAATTGTATACGCGAATACGTGGGATACCATTGAACGAAGAGATCTACGTTAAAAGCAACGTGAATCGTGAATCCCGAAGTACGGATGTAACACGTTGAGACGTGTACATTTCTTCGCAACCCGGGAGTGCGAGTTTCTTGCGCATGCGACGAAACGTGAGTAAAAGCGCTTTACCTCAGCAACGGCCAGAGAGTGGCCACGATATTTCAAACAGGTGCAGAAAATTTTCTGCCAACATCCATCAATTTCCGTTAATTTAATGCAACTTCCATGTAAATTTAGAATGTTAGAACGCTATTCTCACGTATTGCCGAATTACATTACGTAGTATGACGCGTATTTCCTCCGTAAAAAGACGTTTCACTTGGATGCATCGAAGAACAGCACACTTGTACAAAAATTATAGTATAAAATAGTATAAAAATTAAATTAATACATAATTAACATATAACGATATATTAAAACAACTGATTTAGATAACTACGTACATATTTCCCGACAATCGATCGAAAGAGATATTTAAAGATAATTTTTGTACAGAAAGTGTATAACAGTCGTAACAATATAAACGTTAGAATGCTTTATCGTTTCGAAATCTATAGTTACTTTATCAAATACGCGAATTAAACGTGGTATTATCGTGCTATTAACGTAGCAAAAGTAAAGTGAATTAAAAAAATGCTACTATAAGAATATCTAATGGTTGACAGAAAAAATAGCAATCGGTTACTGTACAAGTATTTATGCTAACACGATCATGGTTCGCGAATGCAAACGAATGCACCGAAATCTGCTTCGAAATGATTTTCCACTAGCCGATCAAATCGATCCCCGTTAACCTTGACATTTTGCATGGCACTCGCCATGGATTTATTTTAGAAAGGTAGAATACAACGTGCCACGAGAAACTCGCGAAACCAACAGGCTCGCTGGTTACTTTCCTTACACGTACAGAGATAGGATACATTCGCCGTACGGTGTTCTATATTCTGCATTCTACAGGATGAACGCCAACAACAGCACGAGAAAGCTTTGTCTATTGGCTAACGGCCAATTACCAACGACTCGAAGGAAAGGGAAATTTTTCATATTTACATATTTGAACGAATAACGATAAACGATACGAGCAAAGTATGTTATTTGAAAGCAAACTGTTAAAACTTTTGTCTCGCCATTTTATCGATTATAGATTATAGATAGAGCCTGTTCCTCGGTTAGTCCTAGTTGCGTGGGTCACCCTGTATATAGCCATTGCAAACAGTCGATACATAGGTAACGTACTACGTATATGTATATGTTGGTAGTACGTATGTATATGGCACAGTTCTCTAGATCGCAGGTGCGCCTATCTATCTATAGACGCGCTTTCTCGTAAGATCGCAAAGTTCATCAAAGAAAACCAAACTCGAATAAATCGTGCGATTGCAGGTCGTTTCACGCTGAGATTGAGACTTGGAGCAGACAGGAAGAAACATGAAATTTCTTAGGAGAACTTGATCGATTGAAACCTGGGACAAAATTTCAGTGGTCGAATGCTTGTAAAAGTCTTGTCCACACAAAGGAAACTCGTCGTTTGTCCGTACGGTACTTGGCTGAAGATTGCTTCCAAAAAGACCAAACCTTCGGCATCCGAGGCAAGTTTCGTACTCAGTTTTACATCGAGTTTCTTTTTCGTCGATCGCTGCCCGATCCTCCGCACCAATCACGCACGTACGTACTTACATACGACATTCAGTGTCGACACGGTCGCGCAAAACCGACTACCGTTTCCGAGAATTTCCCTTCCTATTGAACTGCAGTCGATTACCATGAGAATTCTCGCGAGACTTTCGATCGATCAGATCCTAAGAATCTATCGATTCGCGCGCAAGATACGCGACACCTCCTACCTATGCAAGTATTTATTCGTTTCACATAGTTACTAAACTTTCGAGATCGTCGTTCAATTCGACGTTTTCATACCGAATGACGATCCGCGTGAACGAGACGCGTGAGCTGATAATCGAGGCTTACCGGTATGTAACGGGAGCCATAATGCCATCCTGTAATGCCATAGCTGTAAACGATCGACGAAACGGACATTGGTAAAACAGATAGACGAGGGAATACAAAGTAACTCGCTGTCGTTACGGTACAAACAGGTCTTAACAAGTTATCTCCTGCAAACGAACGAGCCACCATGGACTTCGTATTTTGTCAAGTATGCCGACGTTGTGAACGATCAAAGAGGGATGTCCCACTTCAATTGGCCAGTAGGCAACAGTAATTATCATGTACTTAGAACCGGCTGCTTTCCATACATCAAATATCACTGTACCAAGAGGCCACGACAGGACCTCAGCGCCGAGGACAAATTTTTCAAGGCGATCAAGCTTCTGAACCTTGGTATACATTTTCTCATACCGTATTTATCAAAAATAAAAGGGTGCCTCGCCACGTCGATACGCGCTCATCGTCATTCTTACACGATCCATCCGTCCTTTACCTTCGTTCACATTTTTTCCATCCAAAGATACCGAAGAAAGTACACGGCGGAGATTCGACGCCTGGCGTGGCGTCTCGCCACTATAATTAACGACGATTAGCTATTTCAGATCTTATTTCTTATCCTATCAGGTATACCTACATTAATGTATGGACTGGCAGCAATTTTATTGATCAGACACCGAGAAATCGTGAATACGTCCCAAGGAAACGTAGTGATATATTTCTTACTGCCCGAGGACAAAGGTTCCATGTACTGATATACACGTAGATGTACACATTGTATTAATTAAAGGTAATTTTATATGATGTAAATAAAACGTCAAATGAAAAGGCTATAGAATTTAACGTATTCGTACGCATGCATACACACACACACACACTCACACATACACACGCACACACACACGAGATACGTTCCAAACGGTCTTCGATTATAAAATCTGCCGTTTTACTTAACCGACGTTTAGCTAGAATATTTATGACGGAACGTATTCCGTTCCGTCGTGCAATTGCATTTATTAAAATTATGAATCCAAATTAAGTAGCTGCATGTACAAATGTACGACTATATCGGTGCATTTGAATGAGGTGATAGACATCTATCCGTTGATTCGACTTTTAGAGAAGATAATAGCATTTCCTACTGCGTAAAAAGGAACCGTGCACGTTTGTTGGCAAGCACCTAATGACCCGACGATGACTGATTCGAAGACAATAAAGCGTGATAAAGTGAAACTCGTGATTTAGATTCGGCTTGCGTTTGATATACAGCGATCGCGTTCCTGACCTACGATGACTAATGTTCCTTTTATGACGTCGCGTAAAGAGCAATACAATAAGAGACAATCGCAACGCGCCCGAGACGCGGCAAGTTCCGTTTCATCGCATTAATAATTCATTTGATAAATAATTAACTCACGACTGCCGAACAATCGTTTAACGACGCGCGGTCGAAGGAATTTCTTGAGCCAGCTGAACGAGAATTGGTTAAACAATTTGAAAAAATTAGAAATATTTGTACAAAAGATCTAACTTCTAGATAAGACTCGATATCTTAGTGTCGATGATTAATAACGAAGAATCGTATAGTTTTAGAATCGCGTAGAAACTTTAGCGAAAAGATTAACAACTGGCACCGAGTTTTCTCGATAAGGCACAAATAAAAGATTTAATTAACAGATGACTTTCACTCGACGGAGATGACGATAGGCGTCGGAACATGGCGAAAGAACTTTCACCGAGGAAGATCTGTACCTGTTGCGCAGCTTTTGTACGCCACATCAGCAACCTTCGACCTACTGGTATCGCTGCCTAATGCCAAGCCATCCTAGCGACTATCGCGATATCTAGAATCGTCCTATCGAAGGCTCGATACGCGTTATACGTTATGTCGTTGTCACAGCGCTTTACTCGACCGCGAGCAGAGACATCACCTTTCGAAAGGACAACAAGCGTTGGTGATTGGACGTACTTCCTGCCACCATTCGACGTAAAATACAGCTTGCCATAAATATTCAAATACAACAACTCGTACTTTTATTACATGTCCGATAAATCTAACATATTTATATTGGCTCCTTGAACTTAACCACATCCCGTTTCGATGACGGTACTGCTGCGCCGTAAAGGAAGCTGTACTTTTTCCTAGACCTAGGTATCGTTCATACGTGTTTCATTTTTCCTCTCTAAAGTAATAACGCTATCAACTTGTTCGAATAAATTCTTCGAAACTACGATAAGTCCTTTCAATCGCTTACCTTCGGAAAGTTATTACTAATATCGAGTAACGTGTATATCGTACATCTATCATTTATCGTCTATCGTTAGTATCGATTTTTTCAAGCAGACTTTTTTTTATAAATCATATACGTATGCGTATATCCTACTGTGGATGTCTCTGTTAACCCAATATATAGACAATTAGATAATTAACGAGTAAGACTCAAACTTACTTTGTTTTACTTCGAGTATAAAAAATTATCAAAGAATCATCGATGCGTGTAATACGATTTAGCAAGTCGATGATAAATTGAAACATTTATTCCGATTGAAAAGAGGTGTGCCATTGTAGTCGGTGATTGAGATTAACGTCGAAAAAGAGTAACTTAAAGTTAGAGGTTGTAGGTACCGTACACTCTTAAGCCATTAATTCTCCTCTTGTAATACCGTCCAAGTCGACAAGATCGGCATCGACCAAGCCGAAGGACCTGCGTGTCTTCCGTACAGAAGAACGGAACTCCGATTGCAGTTGTGCGGGAATCACACGGACCGATCGTACACCTTGTATCCACGCGAGACTCGTCTACATTCCGAGCACGTGTTAACGCGCCACGCTGTTTAACGTAGACGTAAAGTCGTGGACGTGGACGGAGGATCCGATCGTTGAAAGAGTTTGCAACGAAGTCGTAAAGTTGCGTCACGCACAATTAATTCACACAAGACCAGCGATCGCTATTTGCGTATTCGATTGGTCAAAACATTTCGAATTAGAGATGCTATCCATCTAGCCTTCGAACTTATTACAATATTAAAATGCTTTAGCGTCTTTCAATGCCAGTAAATCGATAAATATTCGTATATACCAATGAAGCTAACGTCCGCCAAGAGGAGAGAAAAGCTGACGGCAAAAGAAACATTTACATACGTCAAAAAGACGAGCTACGCGATTCGCATCTTGTCTCCTGACCGTGGAATAAGTCATCGTCTATTCTAACCTGCTTATTGTCCCCCGCGCGTAAACAACGGTATCATCGGACAACCTCGTGCGCCTATCGTACAATCTCGCTACCATTCATCCCGCGTTTACTCCATCATGGTTACAATGGTACATATTCGCGTGGCTCTCGAACGCAGAAATAATGGAATGGCATTGTCCGTGCGCGAGAACTGCAACAGGCATCCTTCTTGCGGTACGTGAACGAGTCCACGTGCAAATGGCTATTTCGTATAATCGGTGCGCGACACCCACCGAAAATGAACCGAGTCAAAGCATCGAAAGACAGTCACAACTGACGTTCCTTCCTCTGTTAAAACGAACGCGGTCGAAACAGATCACTGTCACGAAAATAATCGCCCTCGTAAAACAGTCTCTCGGTTCTCGCAGTTACTTCGCATTGTCCTCGTTGTCTCGCATCATCGTTCCCACCCAATGACGCAACGCGTTCAAGGCGTATCCGTGTGAACGTCGAAATATTCTCACAACCGAATGCAATTGCCGAAAGGAGTCGCAATTAACTCGTAACGCCCGACTTTTTACACCGAGACGAGTTTTCGAGGAGAGCATGCGTTATATAAGTCACGTGGATGAGATGCACCGGGTGACTTCGTAACTTGATTGCAAGCGGGTCTCCGTATCGAGGTAATTGAAACGCAGATCGTGAATACGCACAGATAATCTGCTGCTGGTTTCGTTTTTACGAAACGCATCGGTTAAATTTCACTGGATGATCGAATTTCTCTCTCTCTCTCTCTCTCTCTCTCTCTCTCTCTCTCTCCCCCCCCATCTATATGTACATTTATTTATCTATCTTACCGTTTATACACATCGCGTTCTAGTTCCCCGCCAATTCCATGTTACTTCTAATTAACGCAACCTAGCTTTAATAACATCCTGAACTGATCCTCCTTCAGCGTGATGCATCGCACAGATTAATTCAACAGATTAATCGTCGTATATTAATGACGAACACGCGAAGCACACGTACCAAAGGCGTACAATTAAACGCAACGCGGCTGTATTCTATCCGGTTCGCTTAAATTCCGCAGGACGCAGTTTCAATTCCGCAGCATATTATCATAGACACGTTATCGATTGAGATACGATGCTTGGTGTACATAGTTTCGCGAATACGATCGATCTTTGACAATCCTGTTACACGACGTAACGTCTTTCGTACCTTATAGTTCCTGTAACTTTGGATATCGGATGGATTTACACGCAACTCTTGGAAATTAGGTATGAGACAACGATCGTCTCGTAATATTTCAATTCGAAATTCGTACATCGATATCCTAAATTATTCGCTTAAAATAAAATGAAATAAAAGATCAAATAACAAATACGTAACATCGATAGTAATTGTTATTTATCATCTACTTTGAACGCCAAATTTTCTGAAACTTTGCTACAACTAATCATAACGTACTAGTCCATGTTCCAGCGTAAAAGTAAATCGTAAAATCCAAACGTGTCGAGCGTTTTATCCGATCGTCGTAATTAACAAATCGCCAACTCGTTAACGGACTTATAATTTTCATTCGTGCGAATATTTTCTCCCATTAACGAGCACTACCTTCCTTGGAAATTGTCGTTAGTACACCGTTTTTACTAGCTCGTCTAATCATTTCGCAATCGATCTTTAAGTTTTATCGAATCGCATAAATGTGTAGCACGACACGATGAACAGCACGACGTTCGCATCACGATTCATTCGCATTTGCGTTCTAACAATGTATCGTGACAACAACAGCTTAATTACCTTAACGGGGATGTAACATTATGATAATAAGACCTATAAGATCAACATGCACGTTCTATCGGAAACAATGAGATCAAGAATCGGTACTTGGCTCGGATCGGTATGTCGTTGATAGCACGGATAAGATTTAATTTTACATCGGAAAGAGCAGAGGAGAGTTGCTCCAGCAGCAAGTTTCCGATACAATTAAAGGAAAGAACCGTGAGACGAAAGGAAAGAGTCTAGTGGAGAAATCACGTACTCCATTATTACGCCACGCCGTCGCAGTTACGCCGATAACTCGAACAGAATCCGAAGGATCTAGATCGAAAATCACAACAATCACCGTGTCAACATCTGGTGCAAATTGCTCGATTTTGTTAAATGGAACGAGTTAAACGATAATGCAAGCCAATTTCGCATCGATGCGAAACTGATGCGATGATAATAACGCTGACGTGTCCAAACTGGCAAATCGGTTAACATAAGGGAAAAATCAGCTTAACAAGCGACACTGAACGAACGAAAAAGGAATGCGATTCGGAAGAGCGGCGCAGAAAATGTTCGAACGCTTGCAATACCGATTACGTACTTTGAACATTACGTTAATGTCCTGTGAGAATAGCGCGATAACCAAAAAAAATGGCTACTACCGTATAATATGCACTCGATATACGAGCTAATAACAATTACTTAGAGAAATCTGTAAAACCGCGGCAGAAACGACGCGGCAGCTCTACTTGACATTTATCACGAGTCGCTACAAAGGAATTCACATTCACCTCGCGGTATTGACATTGTAACGTCAATTCACATCAGAGACCAGGCCACGCACCGCGGACAGGATGGCACCCAGATGTCTGCACATTCTTGGTGCGCACCCTCGAT